CGTTAAACATGAACTTCAGTGTGTCCACATCATGCTCCCTGGGTCCCAGGTCCTGTTCTGTCCTGCAAAATTAGTAGATTGTCAGCTCTCATGACCTGCAATGTGTTCCTGCTGTATCTCAAGGAAAATATTACACAGCCTCATAACTGAAAGTGTAGGAAGATGTTCACTGATGGAGCCCTTATTTGTAGTGGAAAAGCATTGAACCCAGTCTGAGAACCATCCATGGGAGAGTAGGTGACTTCACACTGCAGACCTCTATGCAGCAATTAAAACAATTGGTTTAGATGTGCACACAGCAACATAGCTCAAATCTGCGGTGCTAATGGAATAAGAATGAGATCGATGACACAGTGTCATTTATGTAAATTAAAAATACATTCACCTAAACCAATCATACCTGTTCTACAAAAGCATATAGGAAGAAACGAATGCATTTTCCAGTGATTTCTTATTGGGAGTCAGGATGAGGTGGGGAATGAGACTGAGGAAAGGGAATTAGAAGGAAATCTGTAACTAAATAAAGAGGAGCCCTGCAGTAATAATAATGAGCTGAAGAATAACCTTCATTTAACCCTGCGTGTGAAGGAGGGAGAAGGAAAGAACTAGAGACAGAGGAGAAACAGAAAGATGAGATTTCAAAACACCAGTAGGTTCTGAAATTATTTTCTGAGTACAGAGTACTTTTTGCTGTTGTTGGAGTGGCTAATGAAAACAAAGAGTGCTTTCATTCCAGAACTCGGAAAATTTATTTTTTTAAAAAAAGGAAGGTCATGCTACAAAGAGCAGGTGGGAAAACGTGGCCTAGCATGCGGTTTGTCAGCGGAAAAAAGAAAAAAAAAAAAAAAAACGCCAGCTGTCAGGAGTGGGATTCGAACCCACGCCTCCAGGGGAGACTGCGACCTGAACGCAGCGCCTTAGACCGCTCGGCCATCCTGACCAGACTGCTCCCGTTTTTGCTCAGAACTTACTTCTCTCTATACCTGAACGCTGCTAGTTTCCCGCCTGCCCCGACCGCCTCGTTTCTCTTTTTCTCAAGGTATGGGCATTTCCAGGGTAAAAGCTAAGCCGCCGCCCCGCGAACTGCCTCGGACGGCGACCTGGGGTTGAAGCTCTGCACAGGACCGGGTTGCTGCGGCCACAGAGCGGCGTCCCCCGTGCGAACCTGGTGAAACCCCGTTTCTACTAAATTGTGCAGTTTTCCCAAAAGAAAAGTAGTGCAGGATGAAGGGTTAGAAAGTAGAAAAGCGGGGTTGGAAATGGGGTGCTCTTTTACAGAGGGTGTTTAGAGACATCATTTAAGCAGAAACCTGAATGAAATGAGCGGTGTTACACACACATATTCAGGGGACACGCAGAGGGCACAGCAAAGGCAAAGAACCTGGGGAGAGAATGAAAGAGCAGCAAAAGCCTTCTGTGTCTGGAGAGGAGGAATAAGAGAATGAAAGACGTGAGATCGCAGAGATAGCCAAGGCCAGATGGTGTTAGTAGGGCCTGAATTAATCCTGACTGCACTGGGAAGTCATTGGAGAATTTTAATAACATAATCTGATTTGTCTTTATTTATTATTTATTTACTTTTTATTTTTTCGGCAGGTGAGTTGTCAACTGCTTAGCGGATTCCAGCTTCCATGGCCACCGTCCTGCTTGATTTGTCTTTAAAAACAATACTCTGGGCAGGGTGTGGTGGCTCACACCTGTAATCGCAGCACGTTGGACACTTTGGAAGCCCTAGAAGGGCAGATTACTTGAGCTCAGGGGTTGAGACCATCCTGGGCAACATAGGAAGACCCTGTCTCCGGAAAAAAAAAAAAAAAAATAGCCACCTGTGGTCCCAGCTACTCAGGACGCTGAGGCGGGAGTCTTGAGCCCAGGAGGTGGAGGCGGAGGTTGCAGTGAGACAAGAGCCCACCACTGCACTCCAGCCTGGGCCACAGAGCGAGCCTCTATTTTTTTTTTTTTTTTTTTTTTTT